CAGATTGTTTAGTGCGACGAGAAGGAGAAGGGCTCCGAATAGACAAAGGAGTGACTAAAACAGGAGGAGGAGGAGAAATACTCGGTTGGTCTAATGAATGAAAGGCACGATTGGCCTCAGTCGCAAACAATCTGCGCTTCACCGATGGCCAGAGTTGTTCAAAAAGAGGGTGAGTGGCATGACAAGAATTAAAAGGGGCTAATGAAAAGTGGCTTGATAAATGGAGGTTGCGAGCGTTTATAGCCTCTGCTTCCGCCTTATTAATGGTATGAAAACGGTCAATTAAGTTCTTCGAATAGCAAAGAGGAACAGGCCAAGTTTGGCCAAACCAAGCTGACGAGCAAAAAATTGGGGAGCATAAATTTCTACCCCCGCTTTGGCATTGGTCCCAGTTAAGATATCATGAAAAATCTCCCTCCCAGTTAAAAATTGGATCCAAATGAGCAGAGAGGTGCTCGCGCTATCTATAGTGGAAGGGGGATGTACATAGTTTGGAGTCAAGAAAGGAGGGAAAGGAAAAAAGGAAGAGATTGAATCTAAAGAATAAAAGAATGAAAAAATGTCCCTTCTAGACATATTTACAGGAGTTAAGGGCTCCATAGCTAGCCCGTAACAGCTAGCAGAAGGACGAGAAATGGATGGAGCACCAAGCGATGGAAAATAGGATCTCAACCACAGTTGAGTGAACCAAAGAGGTCCACTGCCAGTGGGAGATGCACCATTCTTCAGTTGAGCTTGAAGAAAAGTCATGCCTCTATAAAGGGCAGCCAAAAACAAAGAACATAAATTCAAAGGCCTGCTACGCGCCAATTCGTACGCTATAGGTAAATAACTCAGAGAACGCTTTATACTTGGCACGCACAAAACATATTTACAAAGCCAAACTAAAAGAAAGGCCACTCGCTCAGCATGGGTAGGCTCAACGCTCGAATGATTGTGGAGGGTCTGCAGGCTTGAATAAGAATCGGTGTAGTTTTTGCCAAACTTTGGGGCGCCACCAGAAACTAAGATACCGGGGAAAATAGTATCGCCCAAAGGTGGCAGATTCACCAGAGCCCCAACATCCCTTAACGTAATAGACATGGGGCCAAGAGGAAAAATAAAAGTGTTGTACTCAGGGGACCAAAAACTCAAAGCAATCGAAAAGAGCGCTGAATCAAAAGTAGGGGGACGAATAGAGACTTCTAACAAATCAGAGATCCTAGCGCTATCAAAAAGTGCCTTAGTAGGACCATGACCCACAAGACGAGCATGCCACCTACGAAAAGCTACATCAGATTTAGGCCAAGTGCGAATACCTCTTTCGCGAAGTGGCCCCAGCGGTAAAGAGTTCAGGAATGGAGGACCCTGAGTGCAGGGAAACAACTGACCCACCGCCGCCTGTTCAACTGCCTCCGCATTGTTGAAGAAAGGACCCAAATAGAACTCATTACGTCCAACGTCGGCGGGTGCGAGAAAACTTGGGGTTATGTATGGATGACTCAGAAGTCTCTGAAAGTCATCAAAACTAAAGGAGTCGCTAGCCTGAGATTATGAAGCAGCCATTGGAGAAGGAACGAAGTTTTTCAGGGTTATGTAACAAGAAAGCAAAAGATGAACAGTGAATCGTGAAAGAGACGCAAAAAATATGAGGCATGGTTTGGTAGCAGTGAAATGACGTGTTTGGGGTTTATAAGGGTTTGCAAAACGACGCACCTCTTCAAGTTATAGAAGGAAACAATGATTGAAATTCTTGGGAATTTCGAACGTTGCTGGAAACATGAAGTGAATATGGCAAAATTCAATAATTGTTATTAATTTTGCCATATTGGGGGGGTAATTGTTGATACATAAAAATTCAGCCCAAATCGAACAGCCCAAGGAGTAAAGCCCAATTGGAGGATCTCCAAATCAGATAGCCCAAAGAACGAAGTCCAATCGAACGAATCAAGGTAAAGGCCCAAATAAGGGGGCCCAAGAATGTGGTAACGCCATCGCCCAAGTTTGCAAGTCGCCCAGAATCTGAACGAATAGGGTGTCATACGGTTGCCCAGAGCTGTTATTCTATTCTCGCCCAAACTTTCAAGTCGCCCAAGGTATCAACAGACATAACGCGTCGTGGTTATCAAGAAATGCAGTTACCAAAGCAGTTGTTAAAGCAGCCCTATCACGTTCCACGACTCAAGGAATTCAATCGAAAAGCGGTTGAACGATGAAAGGTAATGGCAGCAGTTAAAAGGCAGTTTTCATGACAAAATGGCCACTACGAAGAAAGTGGATAGTTATAGGACGATCAAGCAGTTTTTAGAGCAGTTAATCACAAAGAGATCGTTTGTGAAGTATAAAAGGGAAAAGGAACATAGAAGCAAGGACCGAATCCAAAACTCTTGAACAGAGAATGTGTAATTTTCATTTCCTTAGTTTTTAGACTTAAACACTTTTCTTTCAGTAACTCGTGTGCTTGCGCCCCTTGGAGGCACGTTGTTTTTCATTTCCAATTGTAAAGTCATCGCCAATAAAAGAACACCCCTTTTTGGGACTTTGTCTCAAGAGGTTTCGTCCCTTACACAATCGTCTGACCCTTTTTAATTGTTAGCGACTTAACCCGCGCGAAACACCACCAACATCGTTAGCACTGCAGCGAACCACTAACACCACCTCTGCACCATCAACGCCATCAGTAGCACAACTCGCCCATGACTGCATTGCAAACGGCGAGAACAGCGCCTATGAACAATGACCAATAAATGCAAAAGACCAAAAAAAGAGATTGCGATGACAAAGAAATAGATTGCACCGCTAATGCGCCTGGGGCCATGCACACCTATCGCATGCGGTGCTTATTGCAGGTGATGTGCCCATTGCCGCTCGAACAATAGCCGATGCTAGGTATTGGGTGGGTGGGGGGCGAAAAATGAAACGACAACAGATAAATTAGGGTTATGTGGGCTTGGTGTTGGTATATGTATAAGTGTTGTGTTAAATTAATTTAATTTTATAATATTAAGATATTTAAATTATCTGATTTTTGACAAAAAAAAAATCTTTCAAATCTGATTTTTGAATTGAGAATTTAAAAACCATGGATTAGTGTAAGAGGAAATTACACGCATCCAGGTTTTTTAAATGCACAATTCAAAAATTTGCTATCATATTTATTTGTGCAAATGTCAGGTTTCCACCCCCAATTAAAATCCTATCCCATCCACCCAATTAAAACCTAAATTATTTTCTCTCTCATCTTCCCCTTTCCTTCCCGTCTTCTTTCTTTCCTATCCCCACACATCGTCGCTGTTGCCAAGCACTGTCGCCGGAGCATCGCCCCGAAGCCAACTTTATTATGCTCCGAATCCATTTTCGTCTCTACCTCCTATCCTCTCTCGGTACTTCATCCACCTTTCATTTCTTCTTCAAATGGAGCTTCGCCTAGAGATCTGGCCGACCAGCAAGTCTGATGTACACTGCTCTCAGTTCAGCCGCACACGACCCTGCAGAGGCCACTCACGGCTCCTTGTCACTGGTGGGGCTTTAAGATCGGCATCGATCGACGCTGCTGCAGCCGGTGGTGATTGCCTCTACTCCAACAATACTTCTCCCATGCCTCCACTTCCAACGATGCCTAAACTTCGACGCTGTGCGGTGGCATCTACTCCCTAGACATCCGATTCCGGTAATCCAAAAGGACTCTGATTTTTGTTGGTGTCGATGGTGGTGGTTTTGTAGTTGAAAATCTTGGTTTGTTGGTGGTGATTGTGGTTGTTTTGAAAATGGCGTCGGCGGCGCTGATGGTAGTAGCGGTGCTTGTGTTGGCAGAGGTGATTTAGGTGATGATGTTGAGGTTGGGAGGAAATTGTATTGTTGGGTTTGTTTGGTGGTTGTTTCTGGCTGTGATTGTGTCATGGTCATTGTGATGGTTTCTGGCAGTGGTCGTGTTGGTGATGGAGACGGTGGTTATGTTGGTGTGTTTGGTGGTGGCAGTTATGGTGGATTCTAGCTACGGTAGAGATAGTGTAGGACACAATGGTAGTTTGGTTGTGGTTGGCGTTTGTTGGTGGTTGTGTTTGTGTTGTTGATGATGATGGTGGCGGTGACGGGTGGGTATCTGTAACTAATTATATTTGGTGTCTGTGACCAATTAGTTGGTCTTCTGTGAGTGAGTGTTAATCTGTGACCTTGAAATTCATCGTTTTGTGTCTGAAAAAGTAATCTGTGACCATCAAATTTTGTAAATACGTGACCTGCGATCTATAATTTTTTGAATGTGTGACCAATGACATAAAATGTGACCCCTAATTTTTTGATTCGTGACCAAATTCTTTGATACATGACCTTAAAATAATTTGTGACCTATCAAAATTTTGATTTGTGACCTCGAAAAAACCTGTGGCCAATTGATTTGATCATATGTGACTGACGAATAAATCTGTAACTTATAATTATATATATATGACCATTAATCGTGTAACTGTGACTTGATTATTATTATTTAATAAATATTTTTAATTAATTAGTTAAAACCTGAATTTTGCATTAATCAAACTTGTAACTTGAATTTTGAATTATGTATACTTAAAACCTAGTTTGTGTACTCTTCCCGTAGTGTAATTTCCACAATTAAGAATTAAAGTCGAGGCAAAGGTAAAGAATGGCCCAGCCCAAAATAAGAAAATGAATTGTGGGCTCTGTTTGTCAACCACAGTAAAATGGGATGATTTGATTGAATGCCATATCTCCAAGTCTAGACCATTTCATTTTGAGAACATTTTTCCATCTACTACTACATTTATTTTTGCAACAATACTCAACGAGGCATGGTCATGTCAAAAAGTAAACAATCACAGAGAAAAACATTGAAGTGAAAAGAAAGAAGACTTTGCGGATTCTCCAACTCTTCTGCAACACCAAGTGGTGGTGGGTGAGAGCCACAAAGGTTGCTGCTGACCAAAGATCATTCTGCACATCGCATATAGCGCTTTTAGTTTCTCAGACGATGTAATGAATACGATTATCAAAGCAATGATGAGATTAAATAAAAATGCCACATCAAAAGGCTCACACATTATGCAAGCTCTTTTAAGCATAGCAATTCAGAAGAGATGTTGCAAATGGTTTGTTACATAATCCAAGCTTCGAACAGAAGGTTCCTTACAGCAAGTGTCTAGATATCCAGATTTTCCAAATATTAAGAAAATAACAGATAATAATTTAACGGCCTCGACCACGACCACGTCCACGTCCTCTTCCCCTACCACGGCCCAAAGGCCTCCCTATATATTAAAGAAACATATGAAAGATTAGTAAAAAATGCGAGGAGAAATATTTATGTAGGTTCCAGATGTAAGAAGCTGGAGTTAGGGCAATAAATCCATTACCTGCAGTAGGCTTCTTGGGCTTCACTCTAGGAGTCTCTTCAACAAGCAAAGTTTCCAGATTTAAGCTGTCGGGAAGGATGTAGTAACGTATGGTGTTACCCCTAACACTTAGATGATCAAGAGTAACTGGATTCTTCCCTTTCAGTGTCAGTTTCACTGTCTTCAAATGTGTGTTCATGCTAACATCCACTCCTACCAAAACAGAAAAGCTAGCAGTCAGACAATGCAGTTTGTCTAAATATTTCCACACATTCCATGTGCACATTATACATCATTTGAAAATAAAAAATCTTGAGAAAACCAAAAAGTGGGCAAACAAATTGTCCTATTTATTATGGTAACAACCACTCTGTCAACTTGTACGAAATTTCCTAAAGGATAAAAAAACACACCAGTGAAAAGGGGAAAAGAGTTCACAATTAGTACGACAAAGGCAGCATCTTAGCAATTCCTCAACAATAACAAATTAAACCTTAATTCTCGGTGAATTTGGAGTTGGTTGCATGAATCCTTATTACCACTTTTTTCAATCCATCACTGCATCTACTAGGCCAATGCTACCAAGTACTTTGCAACAACACGAAATCATATTAAATTACTAACTCTCCTTTCTAACCTATTCTACTAAGACAGCACAACTCTTGCGAATGGAAGCTTGGGAGCTTCATCATGCATATGAAATGCATGTCCAACCATTTAAGTTATCATTCTCTTAATTTATCTTGATAGGTGTCAGCTTTACTTGTTGCTTATCCATTATAGTATGATTGCACAACGCTAATTGCACAATACGCATAATAAATTCCTTAAGATTATCACTTCATAAATTTTAAATAATTGTGGTTTGAGGATATCGTAATATGATCAGGTGGAGAAAGCTATAAATTTCCCCACATTTTCATGAAATGAAAAGACAAAAATTACTTTGTTTTCACTGTTTTCAAAATTTTGGACAAGGACTCCGGATTGCAAGCATTCTAGAGTTTGTCGAAACACATTTTTTTAATAAAACTCTAATGACATAGATTTTGGCTTTCAAAACTCACTTATAAAAGCTCATATTCCTAATTGAATAAATTATTATATAATTTCAACTATATGACCTGAATTATATAACGTCAATTGTAATGTTAGCAACATTCCCTAAGATTCAAGTATTTAAAAACTGATCACATTCTTCAAACTTCCAAAAAAAAAATAAGAAAACATTGCACAAGTATGTCAATTTTTGTATACTGGATGAAATTTTGTTCGAGGGTGGGGGAATAACACCAACATACCACCAAATTCCAGTTTTAGAACATTGACATACATAGCATTCGAAAGATTCACCTCTTTGGAACTAGAGGGATATGGTACACAGTCAAAAGCTTAAAGCCTGAGGCGAATATCAATATATTACGCAATCACAAGCCATTAGGGGTAAATTCAAAGAAGCTCTGATACTCAGGTTAACTGTGGTGAATATCTATAATTGCCAGAACAGGTGCAAAAATTACTAATAATCAAGTTAAAGGAAAAAAAAAAAATGAAAGCCATTCGATCTCTCTCAGAGAAATTATGAAAAATCGAAGTATAATTCGATAACAAATTGTGATATTACGAGCGCCTAGGGTTTAACAAAAAATGAATTAATAATAATATGAACGCGAAATTGTTTATGGAAAGGGAGAGTACCTGTAATAGTTCCATGAACAACAGTGCCGTTCTTGAGTTCAATTGAGACGGTCTCGTTGTTCAACTTCATCAAAAATCTGCCAAATATAATAAATTATACACACTGTCCATTCATAAGAAATTGAAAATACATTTGCGGATGAATTATACGTTATCTAAAGAAATGTTCGGAAAAATAAACTAAAAGAATGAAGAAATGGAAAAATAGATGCAAGACACATGCCTGACGAGCTTCATGGTTGCTCGATGTGTGGAGTATGTACTAGCTAGGGTTCCAAAAATTGAAAGTTGAAACAGTACGAAGCGGGAGGGTTTTTGATTCTATTAACAATATCCAAAATCGTTCTAGGTCCTGCGCGTTTCTTCTTCTATCTCGCGTTTAGTTCCATTTCGGTTCCGGGTCGACATACCTGGATCCGTTCCTTGCACAGTAAGAATGTCTTTGCTTCTGCTACTCTCAAGAGTTTCATTTTTTGGAAGAACTTTTAGCTAAGTAACATTTGATCAGCTTCCTTTACAATTTTTCTAACTCGAAGAAATACTTTAATAAAATTAACCAAATGAATTCAAAAACAATTTTTTGGATCTTAGAAACTCATTTTGACTTTTCAAAAGTTACGCTAAACGAGCTATTTGTCTAATTGGAAGAATTTTTTGAGGAAGTCAATTCAAAAATGTTTTCGCGAAAATTCTTCTATAGAAAACATAAGTGGTGCCAAACGAACCTACATATGTGGCATTTGAACGAAGAAAATAGTAGGAGATATTGTCCAGAAGACGCTAAACAATCACCTTAGGAGAGGATTGGAATTTGTTGGCCTTTAAATTGAGAAAAGTGAACGTGACACTCGATGCGTTAGTGATAGTGTGAATTTTATTAACCCCTTTACTCGTAACATGCTTTGATCATCTAAAATATGGTCTCTCTTTTTTTGTCAATTTCCGCCCCGAATGGAGAATAAAATAGCACACAAACTGGCACCTGAGCTACTACAAGTCCATCTAATTTATGTTGAAATGATTGCATTTAAGAAATTTGCAGCATCTCAATGGCAAGGCGACCCTCCCATGATGTAAACTCGAGTCTCAATTTACACTATTTTGTACAGAAAAGAACCCATGTGACAAATTTATTGCAAAAGCACAATCTAGTAGTGAGGTATACTACGCTCCTATTCAAGTTCATTCTAAATTACAAACATTTTATGAGACCCACGACTCTTCATCAACTTTTCAATTACACATTTCATCAATTTTATCAAAATCTAAGAAAATTTTAATTTTTAACCAAACCAAACCAAACAGGGGCAACATTGGAAAAGGGTGCCTTAAGAATGTAAAACTTCTGGCCAAGGCACAACAATGTAATATTATTACTCGTTCAAATGTCATCATTATTACTATTATCGTAGCATATTACTGGCGAAGGCATAGTAATAATGTAAATATAACTGGCTCAAAAATTATGAGAATGAAATTACAAAGACATTGAATTATATAATCTACTGTGTTTCTATTCTATCCCTTTCCTTGCTATTGGCTTTGTGCTCAGAGAGGCTGTTTCTAGAACAAATATACATCAAGCAAAATAGGAAGAGGACGACGATGTATCAGCCAGCACCTGCAAGTATTTTACGATAAAATCGTTAATCTCAAATACACATTTATATTTGAAAACAGACAGTCGTATTGATATACCTCGAGTTGATCTTCGGTGAACGAATCTTTCTGAACACTCCATGTATCAGCATGGGTGCGTCGGAACTCTGCAACTGCTTTTGTAACGGTGGATTTCACAGGTGATGGCTCGGAAACAAATTGAGCCAGTAAAGTAACATGCTCAGGCAACCAACTGAAACAAAATTTTGATCATTGGAAAAAATTAAAACAATCATTCATGATTCAACTGTATTATTACACTTCAGCATGTTGCTTCAACTAATCCAACTCAACAAGAAAGGTCTGGAGTGGAGTACGATAATACGATATTGGGGCGAAACTGAGACAAAAGGTTCAAGTGCAAATAAGACACTCATCTTCACTGTGTTGGTATATTGGTATCAAAACCAAACGTCATTAAGACACTTCGAGGGCTCCTTAGCGGCTGTTTCATTAAATAAAATAAAAAATAAAGTTGGTGCAACCCTCGCTCTTTGATTACTACTGACAGTTACTATTTAGAGACTAGAGACATCATTAATCAAATCCCATATACTAATTATAACTTTATAAGATTATCATTTGGTATGCAAATCTTCAAACACATGATCAATTTATTAGAACATGAAGTACCTGGGCATATCATAAGGAACTGATAACACACAAGCTGCCAAAGCAAGTACAGGACCATGTATGGATGCAATCGAATCCCTCAAACGCATACTTCTGCAATCACAAACATGCAATCAGAGATCAGAACATAAACCATGACAGGGACTCTTTGAAGATTAAAACTACGTAACGTCTTTAGATCCTAGAAGCAATGTGGCACTCGTCCCTCCACGTCTCTCTCATTTTCACACGCATACATATGAAATACATTGTTTTCTGAGCCCCATATTAAATTCAAGGATGTCACTTAGCTCAATTTTTCATTTTCCTCAACTAACCCAACTGTGCATGTCTGCTTAAGAGAGAAGAGGGGAATGTATGGATATAATTCTCACCAGAAGGAACAGTAAATGGCCACAGAACTCAACAAAGTAAACAGACCCTTGTCATGCTCAGATAGAGTCGATTTAAACTGTTTTAGTTTTGGACAGTCAACAACCAAACAAGAAACAAGAAGCACCCAGCAGTCACGGGAGAGTAGGAATAAGCATTGGTAAGTTGTGTGCATATGCACAACTCCCTTTTCCTTTTCCTTTTTCAGTTACTTGTATGCACTACTCCATATTAATGATTTTTCGATCAGATTACAGTTACAAGTGAACACACTGAATTTTGTATGGATGCAGTTTGATGCCTTGTTGCCAACTAATCAATGAATCGTGATTTATGAAAAGCCAGGGGAAGAAAAAAACCTCTGCTTCCTCTTCTTAAATATAATATTTGCTTGCTCATAAGCTCTGCAACGAAAATCGTGAGCTAGATCTTCATCCCCACCTTTCATGAGCCCAGCTAAAACTGCTGCTGCATGCTCTCTTACCTGAATAAAAGATATTCATGACTAAAGCCAGAACCCCATATTGCACTAGGACTCACATACCTGATAACGATCTAAGCTATAAAGTTATGTACCACATTATTAAACAAGTGTTGACAAAATAGGAATAAATGAATTTTGCATCCAATGGACAATGCCAGGTTTAAGCAGTCAGCACAGTAAGGATTAACTCATTAACCTAATTAAAACTAGGAAAATATTTCATCAGTAGGAACAAAAAGCATAAGTTCACGACTGAGAAAAAAGGTATAAAATTTACATACATCAAGTTTCAAAATCTTAGTGACAGAGGTTAGTGGAACGACTCCTCAAGATCATTATTATTTATCTATCCTGTAGAGTTAACGAACAAGCTTCATGTCTATAGAATCAAAGACCAAGTCCAAGGACTTGACAATTTCAACTAACAGGTAACAGGAGCCAAAATAATTAGTTCACAAAAACAAAGGCAACATGAAGCAAGCGCCTATCATGATTTGTTAAAGAATCTTCTCTCCATTTTAAATATAACAGTTTCACATGTCATTAATCAAGGATGGAAAAGAAAATAAGAATAAATTAACATAAAGGTAATTTTAGAAAGAAAGATGACAATTGTTGTTTTTGAAAAATAAGCATAACGACCCCGTACAACATCTACATGAACTACTAAGCGTTCAATGGTATAGCTGATTGACACAATTACTGCCAGAAACTTGCCTCAACTTGATTGTCTGAAAGTAGTTTCTCTACCGTTTGCCAGATTTGTTGTTTGTCCAGCTTAGAGAGGATAAAAGTGTGCCTGATGCAGGATGGAAACATATTACTTGAGATATTCTGTTGTTGAGCATCATAAAGAGAAGAAACTATACAAAAAAACTCGTAAGATTTTGAAACCTAACAGGCAAGATATCAAGGGCAACCGAAAACAAAGAATGATGCAACATTCTCTTATAATGTGTAACAAAGACGTTAACAGTTTCAATCTAAATAGATGGACAGTTATGGGACTCATTATAACTGAACAATGGGCAAGCAGAAGCCGACTATGTTGGCTCAAAACCCTATAAACGTCAAGGAGAATAGTCAAACTTCAATTACAATGAATTGCGACAGAATAATATGACCACCACCATGTAACAGTCCTTGCATAGGCATGGATAAGAACGCCTATTCCAGAAAAGCTACAATACCTGTACATGAAACTCCGTAAAAATGTTAAAGTTGCAGATCGAGTTCGCCAATTGGAATCATGGGCTGAAGAAAGAATAATGGATACAGCTTTTTGCAGATGGGGAACCCCAAAAACTCTCCACTTTAGCAATTCAAAAGATGCCTTCGCCAGATTTGATAGATCTTTAGATGACGTTTCCTTCAAAGAATACACAAGGACACAATTACCATCACAATGCCACGAGAAAGACAGCAGAGAGTAAAACATCTAGCTAACATTTTAGTGATGAACAAACCATTTCTCTTATTTAATTTAATTCCATAACCTTTCCAAGTTTTCAGTAGAATCACATACTAAATTTGATGGAAGAATTCCAACCATTCTTCATGTATACTGTGGTTGAAAATGTAAAACAGAGATCAATAAGCAAGAACTTAAGCAGCACGATATTTGAGACACGTGGCCATGCACAGTTCAGAACATTAATTCACAAAGATTAGTAGAACTGTTGACCCACAGTGAAGACTCCACAATAGCATTCACTTACAGGAAAAGATCGGATCCTTCTATTGGATTTCGGAAGTAAAGGAAAATTGGATGACTTTAAGAGACGAGCAAACGTTCACGTTTATAATGCTTCACAACTATACAGATGTAGAAAAAGTCAATTATCTGTACTTCAAATATTCTCTCGAATCTCTCCTATCAATTGAAGAAACTTGAACAAACTCCTTTTTTAAAATTCTTTAAGGTTTTATTAACACATCAATTTTCCATTTAATTAACAGACAACCCTGTTCATTGAAAATATAAAAATGGGGAACCTTGAGAAGAACAGGTTTCCTGTCCTGCATGATACACACCTGTAAGGAGATCACAGGATACAGAAGCCCAACTATAACATCCAGCAGAACCGAAGACCTTCCAGACTTCAAGGATGAAATTATAAAATGGAACAACTGCAAAACAGAACAAAGGAACAGTTCTGTTAAGTCAAGTTATAAAAGATCATTAAGTTTTGATCATGTGCTTTGATAGATAAATACCGTTTCCATCCATTTGATATCATCTTGAGAATGATCGATTGATGTCCCATTGTCAGATATTTTGTTTGTTGCGAACTCCATGGTTTCAGACACACTAATGTTTTGTAAATTTAGTACTAGTTCAGAAGCTTGTTCTATTAGATACCGATCCCAGCTTCCCCCAGGTTGCATATCTGAACTGCTGGCTCCCGTTTGATGCAAGTGATCATGACTGAAGGATGCATGAAGCCGAATATTTGAGCATAACACGGAAAGAGTTACACCAATTGATTCCCTCACCTGTTCAGGCAAGATGGACCATAAATATAACCGAAGATGACTTTTAAGTGTTTTGTACAACAAAAGAGGGTAGTCGGCAGGCACTTCCCCTCAAATAACACTGAAACTTCCTGAGTTTTGGAAAGTAGAAGCTCCATGAAAATTCAAAAAAAGGGGTATGGAACAGAAGTTGATATGTATTGGTAAATTATTGTGAAAGAAATGCAACATGTTGTGCTGTTTCAAAGAGTAAACAAGAACAAAAAATAAAGGAGGAAGAACAAATGGATACATGAAAAAAATAGATGTTGTAATTACTGCAGAGGTCCAAATCAAATGGTATATAAACAAGACGGCGAAATGTCCAAGTTAGAACAAAAAATGGATCAGAAATGTTCAATAACCTAAAGAAACAGAAGAGCCATCAAACTTTGTGAATGATAAATGGCGACACCAAAAAGGGAGAGGAAAAACAAGAATAAATAAATCGATTAATTTTCAGGTAGAAAATGGTCTCATAAAACTACAAATTAAATACCCACTAGTCCTAAAGTGCAGAAGAACAAAGCATAAAGTCAGATGACAAAGAGAAATGTTTGAAGTAGATACAATTTTTTTATTTAAAGAGGGCCTAATATAAGGATGGTCACTTACTTGTGCAGACGAGTGATTCATATTATTTAGCAACTCTTCCAGAAGTTTACTGTGAACCAGTAGTTCAACTTCTGGCATTCTTGGTGGGGACATCTCAATGAGTGCAGCTGAAAGAAAAGTGTAGCGCTTGGCAATGACAGAAGTAGTAACTGTTTCAGTTAAAGGTTTCATCAGACAATCCATTACTTTTTGCCTCAGAAGAGGTGCCCTAGTTCCAGATTTTCCTTTCCCGGTCACTGCATAACGTATACAAGCCATCCACTCAGGAATAGATTCCACAGATGGTGCAAGAATAATATGCTGTAGCTGGACCACCATCCAGCTGTCCCATTCTTCTGAAATGCCAAAAACATCAGAATGCAGCACCCCAGCAAATGCCTCAGCAGCAACACATTGCTTAGACCTCTCTTTAGCATTCAAAAACTCCTCCAGTGCATTTTTCAATGCCTGTAGAACAGGCATGCCACATTCTTGAATCAACCGCTTGAAGATTCTCGCAAAGTTCGAATAAAAATTATCACTTCCACATAAAGATATCCAGCTAGGAGTCCGGGGCCAGGAAGCAGAAAAGTCAAAATAGAAGCGGGAAATTGATTTGTCTGCCATGCTCTGAAAAGAAGAATTTCGGTGATTTCCTCCAGAAGATGCAGCATCAGAGTCAGTAATTATATGAACATGAGAAAGATTATTCAAAGTCTCACTAAAAAATCCTTCTTCCAGAAAGATATCACTTAAAGCTCCTTCAAGGGAAGACGTGGTCTGTCTCCCCAAATCCCCAGGGCCACCAGGCAAGTCAGCCGAAAATTTGTAAGGCGATTCTTTCAAAAGGGTATTCAGAGCAGAGATTGCTAATATCCTAGTCTGTGGAAGTTGACTTTTCAGATTCTTTAAGAAGTGACCTGAAATAAGCAGAACATCCCATAAAATAATAAGTTAACGAATATTAAACTAATTTGCACATTTATTTAGATTAGCAACTAAAGGAATATAAGAAAGTAAAGTAAGCATTAAAGGCAATGTCATTAATGTAAATGTATGTTAAAAAAATAACATAAAGAAAGGAAGTATTAAAAATTTAAAAATCATGATGGGTGAATAACAGACAACACTAGCATTCAGTAGACATCAGTTACCAACCAGCAGTCTCACTCAGAACTTTTGTAGATGAATTTGGATCATTTCTGGATGCCATAGCTAGCAACAGTAGAACTCTGTTAGCCATCAAGTTATACCTGAAAACAGAGGTCCAAGTGAAATGAAGCTAAACTTCTAGAATGTATGAAACAACGAATTTTTGATGGTGCAGGTGTAGGTGTGCAGTTATAAATGCGTGTTTGTATGCCCACTGGCTGATGATTGTCACCAAACAACCAACATTATCTATTTGGAAAAATGAAGAGCTCAAAAGACAACAATCCCTACCGCCAATGCAAGTTCGAGCTTTCAAAACTCATAGCACCAATCTCAGCAACCAAATCTGCAAAATCAGTCCTGTCTGCTTGATTTCCAGGTGTAGTGAGTATGCTTCTAGACAGTCCCGCAAAATGGATATTATACTTGACAAAAAGCTGTCAACATCACAAATAAATTACAAGACAACAGAAAATAACAAAACCGCCAAACCCTTCGTCAAGGGAAAAGGAAGAAACCCCAAATTGGTAAATGAATAATTACCTCGCTGATTGCTTTTTGAGCTTTTAGTGATTCATGGTGGGAGCTTTAATCAACAACAAGGTTAAATAAGACGCTGCGCAAGGACAATTCCATAGAAAAATGCTTAAGCTAAAGCCACACAGTAATTAAAAAAGAAATGTACCTTGATAGAATTCCAAGAAGGAACGAAGAAAGAGCCTTGGTGTCCTGGACATAAGGAACAAGAAGAAAAGGAGTAAACAAAATTTACTTCACACTGTTTGACATAACTTTCTAAAGTTGAATACCGTTGTCAAACGCTTGAGGACAGTTTGGGATGAAAGTACTGCACAAGAACCTAAGACCACATTTTCTGGTGAGCTGGAATTTCTCAAGTTTTCGGAAAGAGTGAGAACAATATTTGAAATTGTAGATGGCCATCTTTTCATCGTTCTCAGGAGATATTTTGCAGCACGTCTGAAGACATTAAAAACAACTTATGTATATGATCAATCTTACCAAAAGAAAAGAGACTAGAAGAGAGTATTTTTGGGCATTACACACACACAGAGAGAGGAGAGAGAGAGGGACAGGACCAGTGCCCAAGATGTCACAAAATACTGAGAAGGTTCTATGTGTAAGTGTAAAAGTACAACAAAAATATATGTGAGCATCTAGTTCCACACACAAAAAGGTATGCTAAACAAACCTGTTAATATAGTGCTCAGCATAAGATTAAAATAAGCTGGAATACGATTCCAAAATATGTATGATAAAAATTAAAAGTTCTAATATGGAAACAGATTCACGTTTCTCATCAATTTTTCCATCCTTTTATTTGAATTTTAAAACTAGGATCCACCATCGAAGAATATTTTGTTTGTTTGACTGAACCATATATTATCAAGGAGCTTGAGTTCTGTGTACTACAATTCACAGGTATCATACAAATCCCACAAGATGGTCCCACCCAGTTACACTGATAGATGGAAACTTTTTTTTTTTGATACGTAATCAAATAATTTTATTACTTAAAAGAGAATACACGATGGGTGTACAATCACTTTAAGCTATTAAGGAAAAACATGAAATTAGGCAACCCATTTACAGGATTTCTAGCCACAGCATTAAACCAAGAATACAGACAAACCAGTCACAAGGTTTTGCCTCCATTCAGGAAAGAAAACCAGAAAATAGGCATCATGTCCATTACAAAAATTTACTAACAGTGAATAATATTGTAATAACTAGCAGACATACAATATTACCAAGGACATAATCATATCCCAGGACAGAAAAAGGAAATCAAATCACTGAGTTTTTTAAATGTTTAAATGCCAAGACATGATAAATGAACTCTTAAGAATTTATAGCAAGAAAGAAGTCCGGAAGGTGCATAAATTTATTTATAGAATCATTTGAATTTCTATTTAATCACTATTACATGTCAAAAAAATTTGTTGTCTCAGTTTCCACGGGCCAGGGAAAAAAAACAAATTTCTTATAGTTTACTCAAATAGAGGAATGAAAAAGATCAGTGAACTCACGCTCGAACTGTTTCATAGCTATGCAAAGAGAGATTAAGGAGATCATCCATTAAAAGAATCACGTGATCTGATGGAAACATGCTACCACTCGTGCGATATAAATGATACGATGATTGTGATGATCTCCAAGTATTATGCATATAAGCTTTGTCTATAAGCGCCCACCGAGGCCTGTAATGGGAGAACAACAGTTACTTTGATACAGTAACAGTATAGAAAAAGACGGAACAGATATTTACCTTCTCTTTCCTTTAGAATATGATGACACAATGTAATTGACTGGAGGTTCGATAATGGCAGTAGATTCCAGTTTCCATGCCTGCCTTTGATTTGACCATTCCTCGTATTCCGAACTTCCTGCCCATCATATCAAAGAAGATTAGGCATAAAAGATAGTACATGCCAAAAAGAATAATATAGTTTCAATGAGGTATCAACTACCATAGTTTCCTAATGTATCCATTATACGAATGACAAGTAGCAGTAGAATGCTATCATCAGATTTTTCCTTCAACAAGAATCTGCCAAGAGTGAGAGTGCAACAATGGTAAGTTTCAGAACTACCATCCAGCACAGTAAAAAGCAAAAGAATAAGGAGTAAAGGTAGAAAAAACAAATTTTACTCGCAGGTTTCATGGATGACACTGGCAGCTTTTTGTCGTAATTCTGTGCTACCAATGCATGAGCCTGTTGCCCCAGCAATCGTGAAAGGAACTTCAACCACCCCATTACTATGGGTTGGCCTGAAATCGGGCAAACATGATAAAACACCTTGTAGGGAAGAATCAACACGTAGAAGAGTCACTTTCAAGTGATCTTTCTCATTTCCTGGGCATCCAAAAGCACAAATTAGTCAGCCAATACAAAATGAAGTAGAACATTTTTGTTAGATGATGAATATTTGAATTGGAAAGAAATACGGCTACTCGTTTTTATGTAAAGAATGAGATAATTATACACAATCAACCTTGTCAACAAACATTTTCAGTAATATTTCAAATAATGAAATGTATCGACCAATACAACCTTTAAAAAACAGTTTCATAAATAATTCTTCGAATATATTGTAAAACTAAATTTGTTAAAAACCACAAGTCGTTATCAATCCCACTAAATTAAAGTTTCACTTCTAAAGAAAATTATTCAAGACAAACATCCAATTGTTACCTGGATCGGAATGGATTTTAGACTGGCATATCTTCAGAAGGTCATCTAGAGCAGATTCAAGGTGCAGCTTTAGAAGTTCATTAGCAAATTTAACTTCTTCATCAGTAGGGACATGCCAATTTGGGGCCATTATTGGTTTGTCAACTGAAAAATCTTTCTTATCGATCCATTCCTCTAATGAAGTGGCACCCTGATGGTGCAAAACACACCTGAAGAGGAGGGAATGTTTAGCCATGAATGGAAAGAATATATGTGCACACATGAATATGATATCTATGCATTTACTGCATAAGGAATTGTGACCAGTCAGCCTAAATCAGTAAAAGAGTTACATACTTGTATTGATAAATGGGATAATAATGGACCAAGCTTCCAAGCAAAGAGCGAAGTACATGATCACCAGCCCCATTAACCTGCAAAATTGGGAGAGGTCTCAGCATCAAACTTCAAGAATAACATGAATTTCTGAGTTTTATCAGGTACATGTAGACAAAATAACTACATGAGAGAACTTTTTGAAGGACGATCATTGTATCAGAATAAAAGGAAAACCTTCCAAGATGGTGAATCAAAGGCAGAGACTATAGCTTCTTTAAAGTCCTCCTTATAACGCAGTAGTTCTGGACCTCCATAACTGATGGCAACCGATAATACTTTCAACTGATATTCTATAGCTGTTTCAACAGCTGGAGAAAGAATGGGTTTTGCCTAGACAAATCACATTTAGCAATCACTACGAATCCAGGTTGAACTTAAATTTAATCCTGAACAACATTTACAAAGAAATTAAAAATACCTTGCTTGACTGGAAGATATTTGAACTTTCTCGTCCTCCAAAACCAGTGGTGGGTGTTCCTCTGAAAGACGATATAGCTGACGCTAAAATTGGCTCGAGAAGGTGAATAACTGCCTCTCGTGGATTTGAATGAACGCAAGCACCACAAAGCAGGCCAACCTCGGCAATAGCTCCAGGAAGAATATTTGTCGTGACGAAATTGGAAATTTTTTTCAGTGCCTGTCAAACACAATGTGAACAAGTTCACAGCAATATTTCCTCTTAAGATAAATTTGAAATACTAAGAAAGGTTAATTTAAAAGATTAATTTGCTCATTCCTAGTCGAGTCACCTGCTTATAAAGTGAATCCGAAAGCCTTCCCATCAATATTTCCAGCATACAATAGTAGTATGGGCCATCATCAACCAGAAAAGTTCCAGAAGTTGCGGGTGAACGAAGGTCTTCATTCCTGCAGCATAACCAACTACTTATTCCCAGAATCGTGTGCACAGGAGAAGCAATTTATATTCTGCTACAGAAGTATGTCTGTGTCAGCATGTATGAGTGCATAAATGATAAGTGAAAAATGTGCGAAAGGACAAGTAATGCAAAGGCATCTGATTGTTGCTTACAGAACACTACTTGGTTCTAAGTGCCGAAGTAAAGAAAACAGGCGACACAAGAACTCATCGAGCCATTCTGAAAAGCTAAATGACGGAAATGGTGCCGCCTCATCCATATTATCTTCCAGGCTAGCCATCTGCAAATGAAATACAATGAGCAAATTCCCTACAGAAAGTGAATATCCAAACATGCATTGTGAAAATGAGTGTTTACACTGGAGAATAAGGAACCGATCAGTTGCATGGTTGCCAAGGTTTTAGGTGGATCATTGGCATCAATACCAAGTAATGCATTGGATAAAGCAATCATAAGAAGATCACCAAATGAATCAGAGCCACCAACATAATCTGAATTTACAGGCAAGGCTGATAAAGTTGTAAGAAACAATGATCTTCCAGAAAATGCTACAGATATCACAGCACTCTTCAACTGGTGGGTAGCTGTCATCTGTTAAGATCATTAAAGTTTATTTTGTGAAACAAGCTGATGCAACCGAAACATATGTTAATGCCTTTATACATGATTCTTGGTCCATGAATGCTCAGAAGTGGGAAAAATATACGAGTTACCAATTTCCAGCAGAAGTACAGAACTTACCGTTTCCAAAGCCATGTGGAACCTAGACGCTAAAAATGGAAGAACCAGAGAGGGCTCCACATATGACAAAATAGAAGTTGTAGCAGCAACTGTTTCTGAAAGGCGCTCATTTTTGCTATATTGACCACGGTCAATTAATTTCAGTACAACATTCACAAAAGAAACCCTGTCAGGTTGTCCTAAGAAAAGTCCAGGCTGCTCATTGCCATCTTTTCTCCTGAATCAACATTTCTATCAGAAAACATATAACATATTGGGAGTATGTTCGTACCAACAAGGTTTCTTACAGTTGCTCATGTTGTAAGCGTTTTTGGAATGCATTCACCAAGTGGAACAAAAATCGCTCTAATGCATAGGTCCAACGGCCACCATTAGAAGGATGGTAATATCTAAACAACCAAAGGAGCATAAAATTAAGTGTGTCATGTATAAATAAAACTAACCGACAAAAACAAAATTCTAGAAAACAAACTGCTCTAAAAGGTTGACAAATTTCTCAAAGTGCTTTTGTGCAAGTCCACCAGGTTTCAATAGATACACCTACATCAACAGTGAGATAAATAGTAAAATCATTAAATTAGATCAATTTAAAGGACGTTCGGTGGATTAAGCAAAGTGTTAAATGCAATTCTTACAATTGATTTAGCAATTGCTTTTGATGGAGTGGCTGTTCGATTTGCAAACAAAAACCTGGTGTTTCTGGGAACATCCACAGAGAATGGATATGACCCACTCCCATTTGCCACAGGAACCTGTGCATATATCATGCATTCTTTCAATGAAAACTGGAAGTTCTCCCTAGAAAAAGAGTGATATACTTTGCAACAGCATGATTTCTGTTAAATTTAACTCACAGCCACACATTTGTCAGGGTGACCTACTTGAGAAATTTTAAGTCTAGGGAAAACTAAACGTATTACATTGATTATTTAGAGAGAAAGGTAGAGTTTGCTACGGGTTACATATCTTCTAGGAACACAAATAGCATCTTACGAAAAACCAATTGTAGAACTGAATATGAACTGCAGAGCTTATGTCATTACTTGGCAAGATTTCTGCTAGCACCTATTCAGGCTTGCCTATATCTAAAAACTTGCTTCAGGCCAAATTATATTTTGTATCCAACAGATCTAGAATTTAGCTCATTTCTGACATGCTAATTTCAGCTTGCTTGGATGATTCAAAAAGGCAATAGGTTTTTGAATAGATTCCATGGTGCATGGAGCTAAGCTTCGAAATATGATTCATTATATCTTCATTTTCTTTTCTATGCTTCTAAACTGAAGACTAATGTCTGTCCAAGCAAATCGTCTTTGCCTTGCCTCCTATATTACATACTTCATTCAGTTAAAAGTAGCCTCAGCCACTCAAAACCCTTCGGACTACCATAGCACCCATGTCTTATAATGGTCACAGAATACCTAAAAGCTTCTGAGAGCCACTCTACACAGTAATAGCAGCAAAAAGCGCAAATCAACTACACAATCAATGGATCTTATCTCTCATCAGAGTACTCCACAGTACAGAATCACTTGACTGCTGCATCCTCCAATCATAAGTCTGACCACTAAAATATGGCTACGTTAACCTGGATAGGATGCGCATGTTTTTACGACATGCAGCAAGAGAAGCATGAAGGAGGCAATGAATAAGAAAATCCCTTCACAAAGTTTTTATCATTTTCTTCCCTGCTCATATTGTTTCCTAGTAGTTTGAAGTTTTTCAGCCTACTAACATGTGATGGTCCCTATTCTCACACTTCCTGTCACTCGCCAAAAACAATTATAGCTATGGTACTCTGCTTCCTCTCTTGCAAGGCTACATATCTGTCCACAACAGGTACAACTTTAACTATGCTGCTTTTCTCCAGTCTCCACATTGTGCTAGGTGTGTCATATTTCTAAATGAATGCGTTCTTCTCAACAGCCAACCTTACAGAAGACATTTTCTAAGGCATTTCCTTTTGTTTTTTTGGGCTTTACTTCACTTATTCCATCACACATACAAAATCAAAACTCACTAAGTGTTAGAAAGCAATCTAGATTTGACTGAGATAATTTGTACTTTGATATGAAAAGTAATTTTGTTAATTAGAGAAGCATACTGTAAAGGGGATGAGGAATCTGCTAAGCATCAAAGAATATAAAGTAGATTCGAAAATACAATCATATTTCCAACCAATGACAATTAAAGAGAAAGGAATGCCTTGAAACATCTTTGATCTCCTTATGTGTGGAAACCCGCAAGGAAAAATAAGAATTTAGATCTTGTTAGGCGTCCCATCCATTTAACCTATTCTAGAAGAATCAAGAAGGATGGAGAATCAGTTGGAATGAAGGAATAACTGCATTCTGTTACAAGGGCAAGTGGGGGGAAATTAATCAGTTAGGAAGTCTATAAATAGATGTAGACTGAAAAGAGTCTTTAGCCCTCTCGAATGGCTATGTATTTTCTTTACATCACTGTCATTTCCTTTTATCAATAAAGAGTTCCATTTTCCTTATTATTTCAGCTAGCATCCAGTGATTTAGTTACTGCACATCATCAATCATCCACAAGTCCTTATTCTAACTTCTGGAACCTTATCAGATCTGTCCCATAACTCAGAAAGTTCCCGCTCTTTTGCTTCAAATATCCTTTGTTGATCTGTATCCAGATTGCAAAAACATAGCCAAAAACTATTGGTTTCCACATTATCACACGCCTTTCATCCTTACTGAAGCCATTTATATTTTCAATGAATCCATTATGCCTACTCAGGACGACCCAACTGAAACCAACTTCCTGGAGGAGTCTAAACCGAAGACCCTCGCCATCATTGTGTAAAATAAATGATCAATATTTTCTGATCAATGTATAGGCAAAAAAAGTATGATCGCTTCCAACCAAAATATAGCTACTTTTTTCAACTTTTATTTGATAAGAGAGCAGAAGCTAGCCACCTAAGACTCAGCAGAATACGAAGCATTGACGAAGAGAATTTTGCCATGTCCAAGTAAAAATGCTTTGCCAGTTGAAATGTATGTGAATATTATGAAGGTACAGATATAAGGGAAACACTAAATCATCAAATATCATCACATGCTGATTAACTATCGCACCATTATCCAGATAATAGACATATGCTCAAATACTTGGACCAGCAGAAGCTCCCTTTAACAGCATGCACTTACCTCAAACATATTCAAGTACGTATTGAAAAGAACTGGTAAGAAACTTTCCCAGTCAATGAAACTGCAGCTCTTTATCACACGAGCTGTAACAGAAGCCCATTGGCAGTTCCAGAATTGGCAATTAGGTATTGAATCCCAATGATCTAAACAAATTTTAATCCATTCGCTGCCATGAAGACATCACAAAATCAATATGCTGAAGAAGTCATGTCTAAGACATCAATGAACTTTAATGGAAGATACTGATATTGCTTACGGTTGAAAGAAGCCCTGGTTCTCTAAGTTTGTGGGAAGGAATAGACGAACAAACCCAGCACCTTCAAAAGAAGCATTATGCCATGGATTTTCGAGTAGACATCTGCCAATTGATTTCCATTCAAGAAAGATGCTTATTAAAAGTAAAGATGTAACTAACGGTCTTGTGCAACAAGCCGAGATATAATAATTATTTGATAATTTTTTTATTATATTGTGGGGTGGGGGGAGCAATTCTAAGAAATCAAATTTGAACAATGACTGAACTATTGTTAACATTATACGTGCATACTAAAGACAAATATAGCAAAAAGGTTGTTAAATAAAATCAAAGACAAGCAAGGAAGATAGCAGATATCTGTAAAGTTAGTAAACCAGTTACTTCTCCAACTCGAAGTCTGAAATGTCATGATGATCTCTGGAAATTTATGCCAGTGTTTGCAAATGTATAGAAAGCAAGAAGAGAATAAACTATAAGAAAATACAAATAAAAAGCTAGAGATCCCTCTTCCTTGTGGATCTCACAAGAAGGTGTGCACCATTATTATACCTTCTCTCCAATCAGAAATGAAGAAGCTGTTAGATAACAGCTTTCAGAACTTAAAATGAACATATTAGATCCTTATGATTATCAGCTATCAACAAAATCCTATTTATTAGGGTAAATAGAAGGCACATCATCAATTACCCATGACTCTATGCATTCCTTCACTTTCACCCACCATTGAATAAGGGATCCCAGCCCAATATGAAACATGTTCTTCAGTAACCTCACACAGTCGACATCCTACGCAAAAGAAGACACAAATTCATGCCTTTTTTATGATCTAGCATCTTACGTCATGTCCACCTGGCCACTTCCGAGCAATACTCTCAGCATATTTTTCCAATCAAAGTCAAAGTTAATATCTATTTTTTACATCTAATTCTTTTCTATGACCTTTACAATGGCTACACATCCTTCATTTTATCTTCTCATTATTTCTAATAAAAAGTTAGGGCATGGATTAACCATAAAAGAAATTAAAATAAAATTGTTTGAAAGTGCCAGGTCAGAATTTGCATCTTGTATAGATGAGCGGGCTCAATGAGCACTGCATCCTTTTGTGAATATCAAGGTAATTTTGTATGACTCTAGGACCATATTAATAAAAAGGAACATTTTCCATCATTGCAATTCCTTCAATATAATCCTCCAGAATTTGGATTCAGATTGATGGTATTAGAATATTTATGAACACTTAAATGTTCCTGATACAAGTAACTCAGAATGATACCTGAATTCGGACCATATCTCAAAGGCAGAACCTGGAGGGAAGAACCTGCGGCAAGATCGAACAAGGGATGTAACTGTTTCAAAATGTCGTTGTCTTATTCTCCACCCTTCTGGGCCTGTATTCCTGGATCATACATGATATCTCAATCTATAGTTTCACATATTGTAAAGAAAACAAACAGTGAAAATATAGGATGCCAAAGAGCACAATATTGTATCATTTGGTAAATGTTTATTAACGTAAGTCTACTTTTAGACCTCACAGTTCAACTAAACTAAATTAGCTTGCAATATTTAATATTAAAGAAATACTGATTTAATATTTAACTTATTTAATGCAAAATCGCATCTTTCATGATATAGAATGAACTCTAACAATTGGCCTCAAGAGTCAAGACTACCACCTTATGTGATGAAAAATCCACAGCATTTTATGCAAAAAAATAATGCTATTCATAATAAAACTACTGGTAGTTGTCTTAGTCGGCATACATGTGGTAGTTTGTTATTTAATACATTAATGTGATAGTTTTTTATTGTTTTATGCATCAAATAACAAATTGCCACACGTATGACGCGTAGAGCGACTACTGATAGTTCTCACCATGAATAGCATTACCATGCAAAATGTTCAAAAAGACAATGACATCATGTTACCAATTTAAAACTCACCTTGTGAAGTGTGTCTGAATCAAAGTATCATATAGAGGCTTCCACCCAACTTTCAGGGACAACTTTTTTCTGTATTTGTTCAATAGCTTCACCAGTATGTTTCCCCACCTAACCTGATCAGGAAAACAACAAAACTTAAGCACATATAGATCAACAGGTGAAAACGACATCCCAGTGAACCAGATAAATAGAAAGCATCACCTGAGCATATAGTTTGTTATCTGATATTCGAAATAGATCCAATCCAATTTCAACAATTGTGGAAACATCTTCCATAGATAGCTCACTTTTAGCCTTTATGAAACTGATCATCAATGGAGAATATTCAAAATTTCATCAATCAAAGTGCATATGCCATCTACTGCCTAATAGCTAGAATTAATTAAATAAGAACTTGCCGGTCACTAAGACAGATATAAAACTACCAAGCCATAAAGTTCCACGTGTATCATAAATTTAAAATACTGCTTCACTTCATTTAAACCACTCAAGAAATCTCAAAGGGCAAGATACAAAGTCACTTCCATTAATGGAGGTTGTGGTGACATAGGATTACTTTGATACTTATAATATATAATAAATAATTACAAATATTTTTTTAAAATATAATAAAAGAAGAAGAAGAAATGTTTGAACCTTGTGAATGAGTAAAAGTAAGTCAATAATTAGCAAAGTAAAATAACTTCAAAACAAAATAAGAAGAAAGGTTAGAACCTCATGATTGAGTAAAGTATGTCAATAACTAGCAGAATACTTTATTTTACATACATCATTCACATGAAAATCTCCAAAAAAAAAAATTATGCAATAAAATTCATTTTAAAAAATTAAAAACAAAAATTGTTTTACCTCACAAAAGCAAAAAAATTATTGACGACCAATGCACATAATATTAATTTCTTCAAACAACCTTAGCACTTACACAGCATTTGTAAACTTTGTAAGTTGGAATGCCTGGAATTTATTGTCTTGTTATGGGGCGAGGCTTGAATTATCACTAGCCCTAGTTTAAGTTTCACACAGTTTCAAATTTGGAAAACTGGGCTTTAGTTTATGAAGAAAATTGCCACACATGAGCAAATTAGCAAAGCTCCATGGGCTACAGCTAATTTATTCAAGCAATCCGAGCACTTACCGCTCATTTGGGAAGTACCTACTTTTAAGTTTCACGCAATTCCCAAATTGGAAAAGTGAGCTTTAGCGTGTGAAGAAAATTTCCATGCACAGCATTACAAAACAAATCTACTACTACGTTCCATGGGGGTACACAAATGGCGAATCCAGGATTGTTGGCCAGATAGGACGGTTGTTGACCGTTGACCGTCGACGTCAACGATCATAATAGCAAGGTCGTTTATTCATATTTTATTAAATAATATTAAAAATTCTTCAATTTATATGTAAATGCTCTAAAACGTAAAAATCATATACATGTGAAAATATAATTCAATAAAATCCAAAATGATAGGAAAAATACATGATAGAACCTCACTCCATAATTAAAAAAATGGGGCTCAACATGAATCAATTAGTTAGCAATTATTGTATTAACCGTTTCTTCCAATATTCTCCATGTTAGGAGATTCCAAACTACGATATAATGTAAAAGAATTACTCTATGAGTTCGACGTCAACACGATAAGGTAGCTTAAATTTTGACGCCATTATACTAGTTAAAATCCAAGCATGTTAGCAAACCCATTTAAAAGGCATGACTTGTCCAACCCCTCCATCCTATTAGCAATTCTTCTTTCTGTCTGCACTCTCTCACCAGTTAAAATAAGCAATTAAGCATATAAAATAAGCAAAAACACCCATAAGTTTCTCTTCCAAACTCTGGTTTCCATTAAACACTTACAGTTTTCCTTCCTTTTGCTGCTGAAATAGATCAAGTATTTATGCTTTTCTCCATTATCAGCATAGCCTCTTACATCTTAATTATTCACATATCCATTTTAAATTCGTAATGATGAAACAAAAACAACAACAACAAAAACAAAAAGAAGAAAGGCTCACACAGTGGAAGCACGTAGTGGCGGAGGGTGGAGGCCAATGTTGACAACTCGACAACAATCGACCACAAGCAGGTCACAACTCCAACTCACTCAATTCGGTCTATGCAATCTAGAGAGAATTGGATTTGGTTTGTCTAAATTGTCTTTTGTGTTTGCTTGCAACTAGGTTCACTTAAGGGGCATATAGGCTATGGCTCTACGGATAATATTAATAGGCCTACTTAAAAAGGAAGCCCAAAGCAAAAAAAATTTGGCCCGAGTCCAACACCCATCTTCCTCCCTCTCCCTTCATTCTTCAAGCTTCCAGTCTTCTGTTACCTGCAACAATTGCAACTGTCCTCCATCCCAACTTGTAAATTTAGGCAAAGCTAACACAATCGGCCGCGCCATCTCGTCAAGTGCTGGCTCCGCCACTGGGGTACAGGGATCTTATTAATGTGCATTAACCTGTCTAATTATGCAATCAATCTGCGGATTCCAAATAAATCACAGAAATGACCAATTGTTAATATGATTAACTAAAGACAGGACCAACATGAATTCATAGGAAGACTAATGCACGATTAGTTCAGTCCCGAAATCTTTAGTTTTAGTGGGCCTTATTCTTTGGTCATTATTAAGTAGGCATCAACTCACTAATAAAGCTAAGTATCAGTGAATGGGGTTTATAGAAAGAGGCTGAACTCAAAGTTGATGATAACCAATTCTATTAGTAAGAGACTTCGATTATGGAGAGGCTTTGGTTAGGAAAGTATGAAAAGACATTACCACTCAACTATAGAATTAATGAGGCCCCGAGTAAGAGAGCCCGAAAAAATCCAAGTAAACTATCAACCAGAAAGCAAAGTTTCTACTGATGATATACTGAGTGTAAGCGAGCTCTAAGATCACATCTTTGGAGTGGAAAAGGAAGTGATCAAGCAATGACAACCACGAGGAGGGCTTGGAACAAAGAAACCAGATAGTTGTCATTCCACTTTAATCAATTGGTCAAAACTAAATAAGTATAAGGGAGACTGACAGTAGGAGTAAGTGAAAGAGCTAAAGAAATGTTCTAGTCAAGCCGACAGCTATTCTGGCCTTGGGTCCTTCCTTTCTATTCCTTGCTAAGCAGACCATGGGAGCATGGGTGGCATCTTAGTTGTCCTTTGTAACCATTGATTCCAGGATGACAACCAAAGACTAAAGCCCAGTCCAAGCAGCCAACCATTACTGGATGATAGAATGGAGAGAGGTCTCGGTGATGATCTACCTATGCATCTGTTAGTTTTGCTTGCATATGTAGCTTATTGAGGTGTAAATATATGTTGTTTCAATTCCTATTCTTTGTTTATGCACTCTTTTGCCGTCCCCTATAAGCTTGTCGTGACAAAACGATCCGCTTGTTTGGTAAATCAAATTATAGTGATAAAAGTACATTTCAAGGGAATGGGAGTGCCTTTCCACAAACTGTAAGAATTCTAGTTCATTTCTCAATTCACACGTTTTAAACAAATTACCCAATATCACCACAACCAGCATCTCTTCCGAATGCAGTAGTGGTGCTAGGTTATTGTCCGGTTTGGTGGAGATAATGGCACTGCTGGAGGGTCTGACAAGTTTTCAAGGTAGAGGTGGTGGAGTATGCTCCTTGACACGAGCATGCATATTATAGAAATTAGAAAATCTTTCAAACACTGTCAATACTGAGTAGCAATCAAAAATTAAGCAATGTAGAATTATGGGCTGGGTGGTGGATGTACAAGTGGCAGTGGCTATAGCAATCAGTGGATCAATTTGTATAGTTACGGGTTAATTAGACAGTGGTCTTAAGAAGAGTTACTATTTAGTGTTGGAGAGTCATGAGGGCGAATGTGTTAATGGAATGATATTTTCAATTGAGTTTATGTGGTGGTTCAGTTTAGCTCAAAATCGAACTGAAGTGCATCTTTTATAGTCTAACAACTGACTCTAAAACCTAATATAGACAAATTCAATATCTTCTTCTGTAATCTAACAGCTGATTATTAAACCAAATATAGACAAAATCAATAGCTTTTATAAGATAACAACAGACCGGTAAACCAAAGATAGTCAAATTGCTTTTGGCCAATGCCGTCAAGACCCTTCAGTAATCTGGGCGAGAAATATGTTTATGTTAAGGTTGTTTTGCATTCGCGAATTTGTTGTTTTCAGTATAGTCTTAAATTTAAAAAATTCCAGTGCATCAGAAATTCTATGGTTTCTAGTTGGAGGGATTTATATTCAGGCTCATGTTCCAACTTATGGAAGCAAGAATGAAGTGGAGATGTTAATTCCGCCTTCATTACTAAGGGTGTTCTAGATGGAACATTTTTCCCATTCTAAATAATATCACAAAGTTCAATTCTTAGTTCCACAATTATTTAAGTTTATATCACAAACCTCAATGAATTCCCGAAATACAAAAATCCAAACAAACGCCCAGAGAAAAGAAAATATTGACTGTTCGTGAACTTAAGACCAATTGCATATGACTAAAAAACGGCACAACAAATTTTAATACAAGTTCCCACATACATGAATAAAATTAAAGAAATTGTAAAAAGCGATTCAGTAGACGGTGAAATAAGGAAAACTCAACAGATCAATAACGGAGACCCATTTGAGAGTCGCATAAACCGATTCAGGATCATCGGGACTGTAAGACTCCTTCACAGACTTCACCAATCCAGCGAACGCCTCCTTCTCTCGCTTCGTCTCCTCCGCCACCGGCGGTGGCAGCCATGCATTGTACAGGTGCATTTACTCTGTGTCTATATGTATATATAAAAATTGAAAATGGAAAACCCCTCCTCTGAGTGACTCAAAGTTTAGCAACTGGCCTGACTTTAATCTGTGGTAATTATGTGTCTATATATTGTGTCTATTTTGTCTTGTGTTTTACTTTCTTTTTGGACAAGAAATTGGATAAAATATCAGGGTGGGCGGCTGACCTGCAACCGGAATTGCCAGTTAATACATTAATTAAGTTGACTGGGTTATTGCCGGGGAGGGAAGAGGACGATTGGACGCTGAGTGACCGGTTAGAGAAGGACGGAGTTGGTGATGTGCCTAACATTTTGTTTGAGACGTGTTTCATATTGTGTGGTGATTCAGACTTTAGCCCCCGCCCCATTTTTTGGATTTATAATGGGGCAATAGTTTTTTTTTTTTTTTT